TGGAGACGACTGTCACGGGGGACTAACAGATGTTTGTGAAGGATGCTTAGTGTTGGTGCGACACAGGGAGATGCTGGGATAGGAGGAGTCAGAGGAAGGACCAGTTCCCTGTGCAGCATAGTTTAGCTGGTGGGCATGTACTGGAGTCAGGACGTGTCTGTGTTCATCTGGATGTTTCAGTGGGAGAAACGTTTCATCATCATCAGGTGACTTCTTCAATCTAGACTTGTCGTCAAGACCGAGACCAAAAAGTCTTTAAGCTGCAGCCAGATGCTGCTTCGTTTACGGGTGTCGGGCATATTATGTGTTTTTGCGATGCACAGCCCTCCTCACCGCTGTCCACTGTCTCACTCACTGAGAGGACAGACGCACGCTCCACGTGACTCTCACCCTCTCTGTTTTTCACACAATGATATTATCCTATATCCTCGCATGTGATTGGCCACAATATGGAGGGATTGGAGCATAGCTGAGCCCCTGTGTGAGAGCTGAGCAGCCAAAGGCTCTTAGAGCTGATGCTTTTGAAATGACACATCATTGAACGTTACGGTGTGTGTCATGGAAACTGTTGACTCCAGATCTCCCGACCACTATGTCGATCTGAGATGGCGAGACGGAGACAAGACGGAGACAAGACGGAGACCACGTAAAAGTGGTCTCGAGACATCAAGTCTACTTCAGTCTCAGCTGAGTGTAGGCCTCCAACCTTATAAACAGGACACTGACTGAAACCAGTAGCACTGACAACAGTGCGCTGTGAGGTGACTAAACACATCACTGTGTTTAGTGACGTGTGGAGCGAGGACCCAAATGCAGCCTAACCGTAGCCCAGCTGGAGCAAACAAACATAATGGAAGCAAACTGATCTCTGTCATGGTCGGCTGTGTGGCAGGCAGGAGTGGTGGACCCAAAATGCAGGACTCTTAGGAAACGAGGTTTCAACTGAAAATGCAGCTTTATTGCTAGAAAAAAACTTCAACATAAAAGCAAACAAAATTCTAAACTGAGATGCAGGAGGACTGGAAATCCTGAACACACAGCAGGTAAGATAAGATAAGATAAGATAAGATAAGATAAGATACGTGACCCGGCCAGAGGAAGATGGATGGATGGATGGACGGACGGATGGATGGACGGACGGACTGGACGGAAGGAAGGACGGACGGACGGGATGGACGGACGGACGGACGGACAGGACGGACGGATGGACGGACGGACGGACGGAACTGGACTGGATGCGGGACGGAGACGGACGGACGGACGGAAGATGGATGGAGGAGGACGGACGGACGGACGGATGATGGCGTACGACGGACGGATGGATGGGATGGATGGATGGACGGACGGAAGGATGGACGGACAGACGGACGGACAGATGGACGGACGGACGGACGGATGGACGGACGGATGGACGGAAGGACGGACGGACGGAAGGATGGACGGAAGGATGGATGGACAGATGGACGGACGGACGGACGGACGGACGGACGGATCGATGGATCGATCGACGGACGACGGACGACGGACGGACGGACGGATAGATGGATGGACGGACGGACGGAGATGGAGGACGGAACGGACGGACGGACGAGGATGGACGGACGGACAGATGGACGGACAGGACGGACGGACGGACGGACGGATGGACGGACGGACGGATGATGGATGGAGGACGGACGGACGGACGGATGGATGGATGGACGGACGGACGGACATGATGGACGGACGGACGGACGGATGGATGGATGGATGACGGGACGGACGACGACGGAGTGGACGGGATGGAGAGGATGGATGGACGGACGGATGATGGATGGACGTACGACGGACGGACAGAAGGATGGATGGATGGATGGATGGATGGACGGACGGACGGAGGATGGACGGACGGACGGACGGATGGACGGAACGGATAGGACGGACGGACGGACGGACGGATGGATGGACGACGGACGGGACGGACGACGGACGGACCGACGGACGGATAGTGGATGGACGGGACGGACGGATAGATCGGACGCGACGGACGGACGAGATGGATGATGGATGGAGGATGAGACGGACGGACGGAAGATCGGACGGACGGACGGACGGACAGATGGACGGACGGACGGAGATGGAGACGGACGGACGGACGGAGGCGGACGGACGGACGGACGGGACGGACTGGAGGATGGATGGATGGACGGACGGATAGATGGATGGACGTACGAACGGACGGACAGAAGGATGGATGGATGGATGGATGGATGGAGGACTGGACGGACGGACGGATGGATGGAGATGGATGGACGGACGGACGGACGGACGGACGGACGTGATGGACGGACGGACGGAACGGACGGAGATGATGGATGAGACGGTACGAGGATGGATGCATGGATGGATGATGGATGGATGGATGGATGGATGACGGACGGACGGACGGATGGACGGACGGACGGATAATGGTAAGGCTCATGATTGTTCTTCGGTAAAGCTGCTTTCAGCTGCTCCTATGCCACAGGAATCACTACAGCAGGTAGCTCTGCCTGCTTGGTTCAGCAGAGGTTTCACAGTGGATGTCCTTCCTGACAAGGATCTGCATCTCCGGGAGGAATCACACCTAAGAAAATTTGTTCTTTTTCCTTCCCACTGTCACCAAGCATTTGCTCAAAGGGTGTCATCTGATTGTTGGGTTTTCTCTGTATTACTGTTGAGTCTTTACCTTACAGTATGAAGCACTGTTGTTATCATTTGGCACTCTATGAATAGAACTGAATTAACCCTTTCACACATAGTGGTCACTACAGTGGACAGCTATTCAAAGGCCGTGCTCTTGTATTTGTGTCAGTGTTGATGGTATACTTGCACATAAACCACTACACTGGACACTAATGTGTCACTCCATACCTGCCACCCAACACGTATGTTGTCCACCTAAGTGGACATGTAAAAAAACCTCTTCAAAAAATACATGTTTAAAAAAAATGAAGTTCAAAGATGAATAAAAATACTTAAGAAATCCTGATTGAGGCTGTCATAATTCATGCGTGAAAGGGTTAAACTGAAATGGATGATCAGGAGTGGGCAGCATCTGGGCAGCCAGCCTGCTGTGGTCATCGGTCTCTGACCAACAGTTTGGAATTATTGGATTCTTGTGTTTTTTGTGTTATTACACTGCCCTCTGTGTCCTTTCATATATTGTTTAGTCTGTTCTGCGAGTTTCCTATCAATGTTTTTAGTTTTTAGTTGGGTCGTTTTCTAACTAGCATTTTCAGAAACTACACTCAACAAAAATATAAACGCAACACCTTTGTTACTGCTCCCATTCCCCATGGGATGGACGTAGAGACCTAAAATTCATTCCAGATACACAATATAACCATCCCTCCCAAACAGTGGTCACAAATCAGTCCAAATGTGTGGTAGTGGGCACATCTGCTATATTGAGATAATCCATCCCACCTCACAGGTGTGCCACATCAGGATGCTGATCTGACATCATGAGTAGTGCACAGGTGTACCTCAGACTGCCCACAACAAAAGGCCACCCTGGAATGTGCAGTTTTGTCTCACAGCAAAATGCCACAGATGCCACAAGCAATGAGGGAGCGTGCAATTGGCATGCTGACAGCAGGAATGTCAACCAGATCTGTCGCCCGTGCATTGAATGTTCATTTCTCAACCATAAGCCGTCTCCACAGGCGTTTCAGAGAATATGGCAGCACATCCAACCGGCCTCACAACCGCAGACCTCGTGTAACCACACCAGCCCAGGACCTCCACATCCAGCAGGTTCACCTCCAAGATCGTCTGAGACCAGCCACCCAGACAGCTGCTGGAACAATTGGTTTGCACAACCAAACAATTTCTGCACAAACTGTCAGAAACCGTCTCAGGGACGCTCAACTGCATGCCCGTCGTCCTCATCGGGGTCTTGACCTGACTCCAGCTCGTCGCCGTAACAGACTTGTGTGGGCAAATGCTCACATTCGATGGCGTCTGGCACGTTGGAGAGGTGTGCGCTTCACGGATGAATCATGGTTCACATTGTTCAGGGCAGATGGCAGCTGAGAATGTCCCAGTTCTTGCATGGCCAGCATACTCACCGGACATGTCACCCATTGAGCATGTTCGGGATGTGCTTGACCGGCGTATACGACAGCGTGTACCAGTTCCCACGAATATCCAACAACCTCGCACAGCCATTGAAGTGGAGTGGACCAACATTCCACAGGCCACAATTGACAATCTGATAGACTCCATGCGACGATGTGTTGCACTGCATGAGGCAAATGGTGGTCACACCAGATACTGACCGGTTCTGGGTCCCCAGACCCCCAATAGCGCAAAAAACTGCACATTCCAGGGTGGCCTTTTGTTGTGGGCAGTCTGAGGTACACCTGTGCACTACTCATGATGTCAGATCAGCATCCTGATGTGGCACACCTGTGAGGTGGGATGGATTATCTCAATATAGCAGATGTGCCCACTACCACACATTTGGACTGATTTGTGACCACTGTTTGGGAGGGATGGTTATATTGTGTATCTGGAATGAATTTTAGGTCTCTACGTCCATCCCATGGGGAATGGGAGCAGTAACAAAGGTGTTGCGTTTATATTTTTGTTGAGTGTATTTGAGCTTTGGTGAAAAATGACTTTGACGCTGTGGTGCTAATACCTGTTCTCTGAGGTTGGTCCACAGCCTGGGAAACTATGGACACTCACAAATGGAAGATAACGTCAGCACAGCAAAGAAGAAGAGGATTCAGAAAAAAGTAAGCATAGTCAAAGACTTCCTGGTTCTGAAAACCCTGAAGATATGCCGCTGTGAAACGACTGCAGCTATCACTAATACTGCTCCCGCTCCCATTGGCTATAATGGGAAAGTATTTGTGGGATGTGAAGTGCTTCTAGAGCACAGCGATTGTATTCGTGCGAGAACCACGACATGAAACCTGGTCTGAACACGGCATCGCACAATCCCTCCAAAAGGCTTCAAACTGAGCGACGGTCGCCTGAACCACACGTTACACATAAAGAGCTTCTATGACACACACCTGGATGTTATAAGGCAGTCCAGGTTTGAGGAAGGGGGGCGTGGACACCAGGCTCAGGCTGTAAGGTGATTTGACAAACTTCACTGCAGCAAACTCGGTCTCCTGAGTAATACCACCTGAGAGACAAAATCCGCCCCACAAATTAAATATTTAAGTATTTCAAAGAATCGAGCTGAAGGCAGTGATCCATGCTCACCTGTGCTCTCTTCCACCAGTACAGCTATGTACAGGTACTTCCCCAGCAGGCTGTTGAGGTCTTTTGGTCCATTGTATTCAGACAGAACCTTCTGCATATTAACATTCACATCCACGTCACCTGCTGAGGACAACTGAAAGAGACACAATCTCTCTT